TGCACAGATTCTAATGATTTTACACACATTAACTTTAATATACAGGAAAAAAAGTACTTTTGATGTACAAAGCGGGCTGTGTGTTGGCTCGGTGGTTAGCATCGTTGCCTCATAGCTAGAAGGTCGCCGGTTCGTGTCCCAGTGAGGACACCCGGGATCTGTCTGTGTGGCACTGAGTGTTTTCAAAGACTTGATTAAAAAGACTTGATTAAAATATCTCGCCCCCCCTTTAAAATCTGAATTCATAAGAAACAGCTAAGGACTTTAAAACATGTTAAAATTACTGTATTATGATTGTCAGTGTGATTTCATGCATTTTCTTGCAGGTGTGGCTACATTTGACATGGTTGTAGTACCAGGCCAGGCCAGTAGGTGGAGCTGTGTGTGTTAGGAGCCAGTAGCGGACGCCAGTCACTAATAGAGTGAGACGTCAGACGGTACGAGTAACATGAAGCAACACAGACGTGGAGACTAAGTGTTTTTGTAATCATTTCAACAGGTAAGATGCTTAGAAATCAGAAAACAGAAGGAAATATGAAAGTAATACACCGTGTATAAGCCTTAGACTGTGACTGTGATACAGAGTAATTTGAATGAATGGAGACGAGTGAGCCGTTGTAGCGAGTGCTAACCGAGTACGGCGACGCAGCGCTAAAATGTTGAAAATGAGCTATGAAACTGTTTTATAAAGTCAGAAACAAGCAACCGTACATAGAATCACAAACAGCGATAAGAGTTCTGGCTGGCAAATGAGTTGAAAGGAGTTAAAGCTTTTTTTTACGTGAATGAATGAGCGAAGGCTAACGACACGGAAGCTAACAATGCTAACAATAAAGTCGCGCGCATTGCAGCTTTGACCGCCGGCAGTACACAGTTTCCGGTTGGGTTTTCAGAATAAGAGCGGAGCGATATATCGAACACAGGTGATGTTGTTACATTTAAAAGTAATTGTTTATATAGAAGACACGATTTCAGTATTAGACTTTATTGTTATTTTGGTGCAAAATAGAGCTAGACAGAGACAATAATAAATACTGGTGAGTTAAAACAGTTCTAGGTTGAGTTAAAAAGGTGAAACAGTTCATGATAGAATAAGTGGAGATTAAAAAGAAGTTCATTGAGTATAAATACTTCCGGTGAAAATGTTGTTTACATGANGAGAGAACCCACGCTGCACGGGGAGAACATGGAGACTCCACGCAGAAAGATCCCCGGTGTCCTCACTGGGATGCAAACCAGCGACCTTCTAGCTGTGAGGCGACGGTGCTAACCACCACCCCACCTTGCAGCCCAGATATTAATATACTTCATTACATTTTGATTTCATATTGTCAAAAATCTGATAAGTTTATGTTGTTCTGGAAACACAAATTAGATTTTTATCTTCTGAGCACAAGAGCAAATGTTTTCCTTCCTAAACTGATGACTTGTCAGGACTCATAGTCCGATAAGGTAAGACAGCACAAAATAAGACCAGATAAGCCTTTATTAATCCCTCAGATTCCTTTGACTGTGGAATATAACCGTACTGCACAGCGTTGTTCTGTATGTAAAAAAAACATTTGTATTGCAAAAACTCTTCCATGATTAGAAAAGTACTAATATTAACACTTATACTGCACAGATTCTAATGATTTTACACACATTAACTTTAATATACAGGGAAAAAAAGTACTTTTGATGTCCAAAGCGGGCTGTGAGATGGCTGGGTGGTTAGCATCGTTGCCTCACAGCTAGAAGGTCGCCGGTTCGTGTCCCGGTGAGGACACCCGGTATCTGTCTGTTTGGCACTGAGTGTTTTCAAAGACTTGATTAAAATATCTTGCCCCCCCCTTTAAAATCTGAATTCATAAGAAACAGCTAAGGACTTTAAAATATGTTAAAATTACGGTATTATGATTGTCATTGTGATTTCATGCATTTTCTAGCAGGTGTGGTTACATTTGACATGGTTGTAGTACCAGGCCAGGCCACTAGGTGGAGCTGTGTGTGTTAGGAGCCAATAGCGGACGCCAGTCACTAATAGAGTGAGACGTCAGACGGTACGAGTAACAAGAAGCAACACAGACGTGGAGACTAAGTGTTTTTGTAATCATTTCAACAGGTAAGATGCTTAGAAATCAGGAAACAGAAGGAAATATGAAAGTAATACACCGTGTGTAAGCCTTAGACTGTGATACAGAGTAATGTGAATGAATGGAGATGAGCGAGCCGTTGTAGCGTTGTGCTAACCGAGTACGGCGACGCAGCGCTAAAATGTTGAAAATGAGCTGTGAAACTGTTTTCTAAAGTCAGAAACAAGCAACCGTAGATAGAATCACAAACAGCGATAAGAGTTCTGGCT